TAGATAGATAGATAGATAGATAGATAGATAGATAGATAGATAGATAGATAGATAGGGGAAAGGAGAGGAAAGGGGGGAGAGAAAATGAAAAAAGGAGAGGGTGGTGGAAAGCGAGAGAAATAGAAAAAAGACCATTTTAATTCCAACCGGGTGTAAACCTGTGAGGTGTGCTGACAAAATGAGTTACTTCTCGGATTTTAGCATTATGGAAATTGATACATCAACTTGATAGCTGAAGTTTGTGCAATTTGTGAGCATGGAATAGTGAAAGACACGGTAGACCTGAACAAAATGGCATCAATTGAAAATCTATAAATCTGACCCCAGTGACGATATTCAGCCGATATCTCCATTCATGGATCGTGAGAAGTAACTCATTTTGTCAGCACATCGCACATATGTCTTAGTACTTTGATAGGCTGGTCTTGGATCAAACCTACTCCTTCTGTCCCCGGAGTTTTATGCACCCCGCATAATGTAGCAAAATTTGATCATTTTTTGCATAATTTCTCATTATTTTCCTTTTATCATCCTTTGCTAAAATTAACAGAATCGCATATTTCACTTTTTTTTTAGCTCAGTTTGCATAATTTCAGAATTTTTCTTGCATAAAATGACGGGGACAGTTCCTACCTGAAACCAACGTGAAGCTGTGTCGGAGACTTGGGCAGCTTCCCCGCGGCGTTGTTGAAGGGCGGGCGGTCGTCGAAACAGCCGACGTACGGGTAGCAGACGGAAGTCACGCTCACTTTGGGGCTTTTCTCCAGGTGTGGACATGCATTTTTTACAAGTGTCTCTGGTGGAGAAGGGGACAACATTCAGTGGGGCGAAGCGGCTACATAATCAAATGATCACTTGTCTTCCTTTCTTTAGCTCTTCTAGTAAAAAAAAACGTTGTTTCCCGCATCCGACCCGGACATTGGGGATTGCCTTGTTAGTGAGACAACTTCCTGGGTCTTCGGCATAATATTGTGTTAGGGTGGCCAGTTCCTTTCCACACCGCCTTTACTTCCCCAACTCGAAGTCAGCTACCATTACTGCTGGGTGGACAGGAGAATACGAAAAAAATTCCTGTCCGAACCCAGGCTCAAACCCGGACTTTCCGCTTCGGAGACGAGCGCACTAACCGCTCCACCACAACACCCTCAACTCTCCTAGTGCCACAATAATTTATCAGCACTGAAAGACATCAATGATTTATCGGTACAGAAAGAGTTAATATTGGTAACATCGTCGCAGTCAGATTCATGCTAATAATACGTAGACCTTATAAATTTAAATAATAGACGTTCATGAAATCATCTATGAGTCCCCGTCGTTTTATACAAGAAACATTTTGAAATTTTGCAAACTGGGCTAAAAAATGTGAAATTATGCGATTCTGTTGATTTTTAACTACGAATAATAAAGGAAAATAATCAGAAAATATGCACCAAAAAAATGATCAAATTTTGTCAAATTATGCGGGGTGCATAAAATCCCGGGGACAGATCTATGAGTAGTGTGCACAACACTCGAATCTGTTTCAATGCCACATACATACCCTGTATACCGCTTTCGGATCTTCAAAACAAACGTAAAGACTGTTCTACTCTACGGTTCAGAGACGTGGAGGCTCACAGCATCAGCAGCAAGAAAACTGCAGAGCTTCATAAATGGATGCCTAAGAAGGATAGTGGGGATCAAGTGGTACGATCGAGTTACAAATGCTCAACTGTGTGAAAGAACAAACCAAAGGCCAGTAAAGGTAGACATACAGGCGAAGAAATGGAAATGGATTGGGCACACCCTGAGGAGACCCCCGACAAGCATCATCAGAAAGGCTTTGACGTGGAATTCACAAGGAAAACGTAAGAAAGGAAGATCAAAGACGACATGGAGGCGAGCGGTACATGCAGAAATTGAAAAGGCGGGCACATCAGGGAAACAGCCAGAAAAGGATGCACAGAATGATGACCTAAGCTCCACTGGGAGTTAAAAGAGCAAAAGAGAGATGGATACCCCTTTCGGGCCACTCTCATAAGAAATTCACAAGCACTGGTGTAAGCTTACGTTTAGAGTGGTAGAGTCGAGCTCCAAATGGTGTTTTGTTGTTTGTTTTTTTTTGGGGGGGGGGGTTTGGGGGGGTGTTTGGTTTTGTTTGGGGTTTTTTTTGGGGGGGGGGGGGTGGGATTCGGGGGTGGGAGATAGATGAACTAACTCCTAATACTCTCATGGCTGCTGTGAGTTTTTGTTTTTTCTTCAACTTTTTTACAGCCCTTAAAAAAGGGTCATAAAATGACTTACTTATTATTTCACGAACTCATGGATTGATTTTCAACATATTAAAAAAAGTAGTGAAGTCCCCTTCGTTGAATTTCATTTGTTCAAAGTTTGGTTGAAATTAGCATAGATGTGACCGAGGAATTGCTCTTTAAATGGGTCCTCTTTTCTCTTTTTTGATAATGATAATAATAATAATAATAATAATAATAATAATAATAATAATAATAATAATAATGATAATAATAATAATAATAGCAATAGTAATAATAATAAATGGCATTTGTATAGCGCATATCCCTGCTCAACAACAAGCTCTATGCGCTTTACACAATATTATTACCCCAGCAGACCATACAACACTCAGAAACATTCTCAGCTTCCCGGGAAGCATACAGTGCAAGCAGCTGGTTAAGCGCTCAAGCACTAACAAACTGACAAGATCTTTCACTGTCTATATAGACAACAGGTATTTCTCATACGAAACTTTCGTTTATCAACGAAGAAAGATCATTTGTGAGCGAACACGGGAGCTTTGGGCCACTCCCGTGTGTCGGTCAGGTTGGTCAGGCCACAGTACTTCTGAGGACGGGCAGATAAGAAGTGGAGCGCCAATATGGACAGAGATAAGAAAACAATTGGACAATGGAGCTTTCCAGAAGCACTCTCAGAGTTCCCTTTTGTGTTGGAACTCATAGATCATACTTCTGGGTAATAATTTTCTCAAGAAGAATTCTCTAATGTACAGAAACACATAATCTTATTCAAGTTCGTGAGCAACGAACAGGAAAAACAGGAAGGATAACAGGCTAATTTATTTTGTCTCAATAAAGGAACATATTGGAGTCAGTGACGGGGCGCCATTGGTGCAATTGCTCCACCTAACCCTCGCCTCACCCCCCCCCCCCTTTTTTTTCTAATTGTTCTAAACCAGTCAGTGCTCTAGATCTACATTAGGCTTAGCCCACTACCTCCTTGCGATCCGTCACCCGCTGGCTGCGCCAGTGGAGAGACAGACAGCGAGGAGGGTTTATGCTCGTCGCACCGCTTGCGGTAGTGTCTGCTGGGAGCAAGCAAAATCTTGGCACCAAAGTTATTTTTGTCACTGTAGAGAAATCTAGGCATCGTTCTTCCCGCACAAGAAGAAAGGAGCATGAAACTGCTCTTCGCAGCACCAATTTGGTGCAAGCTAAAAATTTGATCCAAGTTTCCGCCAACCTATCTACTAATAGATCTAGTAGAGTCTACGGGAACTCAATGAAGAATGGGTTACGAAACTATTGTCTCCCTCTATTGTGTAACAAGTCCTGTTGCTGCACGAAGTAATTAAAAATCTTTAATTCATCTCAGATTGTGAGCATAGTGAGTTGTTAGTATTGTTTCACTTTATTGCAGCTTTTATGCGGTTTCATCTAGAAACAGTTGTAAATATCGATAGATGTAGATTACGGGATATCCTGCAGATTCTAATTGAGTTTCTCTAGAAATCTTAATAGTATCTGCAAAGCCTATTGCCCATTTGCTCACTTTCCAATCATGCACCACCTTGTCTGCAACCCACGCGACGCCACTGATTGGAGTTGATTAGGTTCGAGGAGTCATGGGGTTGTCCCTGACAGACAAAACCATAGCAACCCGCCTAGTTTTAGTTTTAATAAAGTTTTTACGGCACTTGCAACACAATAAGGTCTTATAAGTGCCGAAGATTAGAGGTGTTACAAGAGAGTAATAAACATAAAAAGAGGAGGGGAGATAAAGACGATAGATGTTTGATAGGAAAGAAAAAACAAACCACACCAGAGCACCTGCCAACCACCCACCTGCCTATTAATAGTGAGAATGGGGAAGAAAACCATTTACAATCAATGACAACTTTTTCAGCATAGTTTGGGCGGGGTGCGAGGAAAGGTGGAAAAAGGGGGGGGGGGGCTCCGATTTAAGAACGTGATAACGAGACAAGGGAGCAAATAATCATGAAAACGCTTGAAACTGCCGTACGTTATAAGGTTCAAAATACATGTACGTGTACATGTATCCCATAGGTGATTTGAACCAGATTCGTCCGCATATTGATCCAGCACATAATCTGTCCCCGTTGTTTTATGCACCCCGCATAAATTAGCAAAATTTGATCATTTTTGGCATAGTTTCTGATTATTTCCCTTTATCATTCTTTGTTAAAATTAGCTGAATCACATAATTTCACAATTTTGGGCTCAGTTTGCAAAATTTCATAATTTTTTTCTTGCTTAAAACGACGGGGACATAATCTACTTAGCCTACGGTGCTGGAAAGCAATAGCACATCGCTATTTTTTCTGTGCTTAAAAAGGGAAAATAAATAAAGTGTCCTAAACATAACATTCATCAATCAAATTACCTTGAGCAGCAAAAACCACAAAAGCCGAAAAGTATACTAAATGTCCCAACATGGTTGTTTTACCACCACAGTCACCAGCAAAAAAAAAAAAAGAAGAAAAATTTACAACGGTTTCGACGCACTAAAATTCTAGGCCTAACTGCCAAGAGGCTTTCTTTATGTCGGTCCCAGGCCGGCCCTACTCTCTTCACTATGTGTGTGGCCTCAGGTCGCCTCTTAGCAGCGGTCTTCCTGTCACCCAAGCAGACGTGGACACACACACACACAGACAGACAGACAGGCGCACACACATCCGGAACAGGTTGGAATTGCCCAAGGGCCTGGACAGATGGACAGTACTGTAAGATCTCGGATTGTTTAGTTCTAAGCTTGTGTCTTCGAGGTCATTGTATTACTGTAAGCTGTAAAAGCTCCAGTTTGCTTTTCTTTTTTTCTTTTTTTTTTTGGGGGGGGGGTGGTGGTGTGTGTGTGTGTATGTTTAGTTTTAGTATAGGTTTTACGGCGCTCGCAATTACATAAGGTCAATTTAACGCCAGAAGATTAGAGGTGTTACAAAAGAGTAAAAGTCGCCAGCAAAAAATAAATCGTCAACGGTTTCGACACACTATAAATATAAAATTGCCAAGAGGCTTTTCTTATGCTGGTCCCAGGCCGGCCCTACTCTCCTCCCTGTGTGTATGGTCTCAGGTCGCCTCCTAGCTGCGGCCTTCCTTCAGCACAAGCAGACGTGGACAGACAGACAGACAGACAGACAGACAGACAGACAGACAGACAAGCGCACGCACTTCCGGAACATGACCGGAAATGTCCGAGGACCTGGGCAGATGGACATTACTGTAATGTCTCGGATTGTTTAGTTCTAAGCTGGTGTCTTCGAGGTCATCGTATTACTGTAAACTGTAAAAGCTCCAGTTTGCTTGAGGTTGTTTTTTTTTTGTTTTTGTTTTTTGGGGGGGGGGTGGTGTGTGTGTGTGTTTAGTTTTAGTATAGGTTTTACGGCGCTCGCAACTGCATAGGGTCATATTAACGCCAGAAGATTAGAGGTGTTACAAAAGAGTAAAAGTCGCCAGCAAAAAATAAATCTTCAACGATTTCGACACACTATAAATATAAAATTGCCAAGAGGCTTTTCTTATGCTTCCCAGGCCGGCCCTACTCTCCTCCCTGTGTGTGTGGT